TGCTTGACCATTTTAACACAACGTGGTGCGATCATCCCCCTTGCGCGGAGTGTGGCTTCTCGACCCCGCACAACATGATCTACTCCACCATCATTGTGGTTACCTAAAAAAAAAACGGAGGTAAAAGAAAAACCGGTAACCTGGTTGCCGAGTTCACGAGGTGAATTGGCTTGTTTTACAACGTTGTTGCCAAGCGACGAAAACCCAATCCCGTTGGCAAACACCGGGGGGGGAGATGGGGTGGGGCGGGGAGGGCATACTCATCAACTGTTTGCTGTAACGAGTCGATTGGTCGGCCTTTGGCTATTCCCCCTCTTTCGACGCAGGCAACGCCGACGTTTCATGCGCTGCGATCGTACTTTCGTGCAACGACATAACAAGAACAACAACAATCATTATCATCACCAGGGCCGAAACCAACATACAAAATAAAAAAAACGCACGCACACCTCGCGGGGTCGAGATTGTGGTAGCCTTTAGAATCATTTCCTGTTATCAACCACACGGTCTTTTCATTGGTCAGCCGGCTAGCTATCGCGGTCGATGCAAACACACACACACACATGGTGTTTTGTGTTTCAACCTCACTGAGACTCACGTCTCTTCATTGGTCAGGCGGTTAGCGCGGTCAATGCAAATAATAAGGCCACACACACACACACACGCGCGCGCGCGCGAGACTCACGAAATAAGCGTAGATTTGCTCAGGGGTATCGCGGACCGCTTCTGACGAGACCATCGTCGCCCCACGAGCCTCATCCAACGGGGCAAACACGTCCGTTCCCCAGAGAACAGCGTCCCGCGCGTAGAGACCCGCCACTCTCCGCGGCCCGTCGTAGGTGCCCATGGTGACGGCGTCCAACCACGAGGCCGTCGTTCGTTCCACGGCTTCGTGGTCTGCTTTTCGAGCCACAGAGAGAGAGCGAGAGTGAGAGAGGGTGGCGGGAACAAATATAGACTCATGTAAGCACAGCAAGTATCCGTCCCTTTTAGCCTCCGTACGCTTTCAACACACGCTTGTACGATCGCCAGCCGCCGTGACAGCTGTCTCGCGTTACGTCAGCGTGCCAGGTCAGCGTGGCGCGTGCCCATGGCGTGTGCCCATGGCGTGTGGCCACCCTGCGTCACACTGGTTCTCCGTCAGCGCTGCAGAGCTGTGCTGTGCACAGCCCCTCCTCTGACACTTCCATCTCCCGTTCCGCCTTCCACATTAGAGAACCGTCGCCTCTTCCTGGAGACCTGTCTTGTCCCGTGAAACTTCACGGTTCCCACCATTGCCCCGGAAAAACTGTGTGTATATCACACGGCTGAGGGATCGACACCCCCTTGTGGTTGCGATAGCCAAGCCATCCGTGTATAGGATTAAAACAGAGTCGACATAAGCCCAGTACCCAGCCGTTTTCCCTCCACTCACTGCAAAGACTCCAACACATCCCGTTCCACTATGGCTATATCTCAAACAGGTAGCCTTCCGTGTTTGTATATATTCCCAAAAAACCTCATTGGCATCAGCAGCAGGAGTCGAGGACCTGCTGCATCTTGGCCAGGGACAGGTCGGTGACAGGAGACATGGGTGCGGGCCGAGTGGCTTGTGGAGGAGAGAAGGTGACTTGAATGGCGGCGTGCTGGCGGACAGTGTCGAGCATTCGATCCATGAGGGTAGTCCCTGCCTGGCGCAGGGGCAACCACCTAAAGCACGGGGGCTCCGATCCTGACTGGCACGCCCGTTAAGGAAGCCTCTTTGATGCTGAACCTCGTCTTTCAACATCAAAGTGTTAACGTTATGTCGCCCCGAGATTAGGATACAAGTTGCGAAGCGATCACTCGTCATTTCTGACACTTTTTGTGCACAAGGGACCCAACCACGTGGAACATCCCGTCAAATGCAACATGGTATGCGTAGCTCTCCCTCCAGCTGCTCGTCTCTTCTGCCTGCCGTAGTTGGTCCCTCACCAACTACTGCCATACGTTGCATGCATACACGGCGAGACCGGGCTGGATTTTCGACCAAGTCTTCCTGCTGGCATCACCGTATCACCGTTCCTCAGTGAAGGATAAAAAACCAAACAACAAACACGACAATCTGCAAGCAGTATCCAGCTGATGTCCGTCAAACCTCACGGTCAGGACTTACAAATACGATTCCCTCCAAGCTTCAACAGGAGCGGGTAGACTTTTCTGTGACGATGGCACAAGCAAGTTCTTGCCACATTGTGTCTCTGGGATGCATCATCGCGAAGCAGGGAAGCAGACACGTGTAACAATCTCGCGCCGAAGGTCTTCGAATTCGCACACCTTCGGCGGCAAGGTAGACACAAACACAGCAAACACACGCACACCCGGTTAGACCAAATCTCTTGTACGCATACCGTTAGAGACAAGAGAGATGGCACCCCCTCTAGGCTCCCCCCCGGTGTTTGCCATCGGGGTTGGGTTTTCGTCGCTTGGCAACGACGTTGTAAAACAAGCCAATTCACTTCGTGAACTCGGCAACCAGGTTACCGTTTTTTTTTTTACATCTGTTTTTTTTTTTGGCGGTAACCATAATAGTGGTCGAGTAGATCATGTTGTGCGGGGTGGAAAAGTCTCACTCCGCGCAAGGGGGATGATCGCACCACGTGGTGTTAAAATGGTCAAGCACCCTCGAGGCAGTTACACAGTGCTTATAACTGTCTCTGGAAGTGAAAGCGCCAGAAAGTAAATTAAGTCATACGCAGCTGTCATCCGTACGCAAGGAAAGCACAAGATGACGAACACCCTTGGCAGGATGCAGCGCACCCTTCATGCGACTCGCCGAATATTTCACGGCGCTTCGCGCTTGGTGATGTGAGAGCCTGGTCCGGTGAGAGCCTGGTCCGGTGAGAACCCGGCGTGCTCCGTCCCGGCTTGCGAGGTCAATGGTCTAACGACTACGGCATGCACGACTATGAGTACACCCCCCCCCCTTAGGCCAACTTTCAAGCTCGATTGCACCATGGCTGCGGAAAGAGCTCGATATGTCTACGGAAAAGCCCTCGCGACATGTTTTCAAAACCACCGTAGTTGGTATTCGTACAAACTTGCTTGTGCAGCAATCGAGCTCTAGGATCGGTCTAGATAGGGGGGTGCCATGTCTCCGCCTCTTATGGTACCGTAGGTGTCCCAAACAGATGGAAAAAAACAAATGTTACCCACAGGGGAGATATCGCCATGTGCTGCTCGGGAAATCGTGGAAATACAGGTAGCCTTCGCTGACGCTATGGATTCATTGCTAACCCATCTTAGACTTATTTCTATATAGAGAGATGGCTTTGTTGTGTGATATAAAGATAAATAAAAATAATAATAACAGTGATGCCCCAGCAGCGCACCAGTGTGCACCAACCACGCACGGCAACAGGATGTCAATATGCTACATAATCTGTTGGGGACGCAATTCGATGCACGCTCATCCTGTCCAAAGCTCTCCTTCATAATTAAGGGCAAACCCTGAAAATGTTTCTCAATTTTGGGATTTGGGCAGTCTCTCGTGAGGCGGCAAAACCATAAGACATGTACGTACGACACCCGTTTTCTCGCCAATTTGGCTGCCGGCGACATGTGGCACTTCGAAGGTCAGCGGCGGCGGTGGTGGAGCCAGTTACCGACGCCGACAACAAAGGCACCATGGGTTTGTGCTTTGCACCGAGGATAAGACGATAACTAATGGCCTACATAGGCAACACACCAGCAAGATGAAACATTGGATTGGTTGAAGATATGGGCAAGCTCATCTTTTCAGAGACGGTGGTTTTGGGGCCAAGGCAAAAGAGATTGAGTGTGGTTGACGTTTGCAGGAGAGAGAGCGGACCAACAAAGGTTCAAACGGCAACTCACGATAGGGGCGGGAGGGCTACTACAGCATTATCAGCAGCAACGCGCAACGAAAATCGTGCTTGCTTAGCGGTTAACATCGAAACAGGGATAGCAACAAACAGCAGCACCCACCAACCATGCGGTGCTCCCCTCCTCACAAACCTATCGCTCACACGCTAACATGCGCTCTGTTGACCAGCTCTCTTGAGCTACCCTAGCTGCTGCTGCGCCAAAACGTACGTGGGCATCGTCACACAACCCTCCTCTTACACAAGTTACACCGACCTCGTGCGCGTTTTCACGGTACCTGGGACGGAGGACGGAAGCCTCGAGTGCCTCCGGGGTTCCATCTGATCCAGCAGAGCCAGCTTCTCCTCCTTGTACCTCGCCTTCTCCGCCATGAGCTCCTCCAGCTGCCGCTGCAGGAACGCCCTACCTGCAGGAGTCCGGCTGCTCATCCCCAGAAAATCGCCACCCCTACCACCGCCGTTCGTGGTCCCGTGTAGGACCCTGAATAGCTTCCTCACGCACCGGTTCACCACCATGATGTCAACATCCAGGGCCGCCACGCGGACGGAAGGGCTCGGCGCCCTCGTCGCTTGCGGCGGGTTCCACACGGTCTTTCCCGGTGGGCATACCTTGCTGTCCTTCCCGGGTGGAGGTTCCGGCAAGCGTCGGGCGGGGGTTTGTTGTTGTAGGGATCGCAGGAGAGACAGCAGGCTCCGATACGCACGCGCGCATGCGCGCGTGTACCAACTGAAAGAGCTCTCTTTCCTCATCTCTCGGGTGGATGGTCCCTCGTGTGCTTGGGGGCGGTGGCTGGGGCACCGGCCAGCTGTGAGGGTCACACGTGCGTAGGTCTATGTAGATTGTCCCCTCTCGACTTCTCGAATGTGCAAATTGTGCCCAATCCTGAGACCGGACTGTCATGAATTTTCGTTAGATATGAAGACCCGAAAGGCGTGTTTTTCGTCACTGAAGGGGGGGGTTGGGGGTTTGAAAATGTGCTGCTGTACGCAACTTGCACGTTGCAATACGTTGTGTACGTCGCACGTCGGCCTCGTGAGTGAAACGAAAACGAGCACCACATTGCCGGAGGGTGATCGGCCTGACCGAAACCGCAACGAGCACAGGTGATGCTGTAACTATCTGCTGGAGGGAACGGAGAGAACTGCTGACTGCTATATATGATACGTATAATCTAGAGATATCCCCGACAGGTTCGGTTGCAATCGTGTAGAATAGACTTCTAGAAGGCGTGGTCCAGACGCAGGAACGTGCGTGTGGTTTACAGCAGCGTATCTACACATAGTCCACCTGTCAAGTGGAGATCTGGTCTTCCTCTGTTCCAGCAGTACAGCAGGAGGAGGAGATGCTCTGCATTTGCAACGTCGACTTCTCTCCTCCTGCCCCACAACAGGTATCCCGACGCGCTTACCATCTCCCATACGAGAACAGGGGCGCACCCAAATCATGTCCAGTCTAGCAACCTGTAGGTAGTGGCATACAGCGTGTTCATGCATGGCACGTGGATGGATGAATAGACGGATATCACATTGCGGACTTCTGTACAGCACGCGAAGGTTAACGGAAGTAATATGGGCCTACATATACAGGGAACCTCACAGCAGGGTGAGTGAGAGAACGACGTCCGAAAAGCTAAGGAAATCGATCGAGTGTTGTACGTGGTTGCCTGGCTTCGAGCTGCGTTTTCGACGGACGGAGGGATTCGATGTGTATCGATGGGTCGGTATAGAGCACGTCGCCACCACCTGCACATGTCATGTTTAGGAACCTGCCAGTCTTCCATTTAGTCTATTAAGAATGCATGCGCACAAATAAATACTACTTTAGACTAATACCCGTTCGAGATGTAGTCTACCTGCCAGACTTGGCTACAGACTTAAGACATAAATGAAAAATAACCATAGCCTGTGCATGCGACCAAGTACCAACTATCGCGCTGTCTTGTGAAGATCACAGACTCGCGAGACGTGCGTGTCAACGCGGCGTTCAGAAAGAAGGTTGCCGGATAAGGGGGGAGGGGGGGGGTGATTGCATAATATCCCGGGGGGGGGGCGTATCTCGACTTTCGGTTGCATACTGGCTGGTTGATTCGACGTTGGGAGGCAACTGGATGCATGTTTGGCTCATCGGGTAGTCGGACGACCTCAACAAGTGGGAAAGCACCGCATCGGCAGTGTCTGCGGTGCTCCAAAGGGGAGATTTGTTCAAGGACTAGGAGAAAAAGATCAAGTATAATATTGGAAAGCAATCGAACTGTTAAAAAATACAAGGAAGGGTGCTTCGCGGCGTACCGCTTCGCGGTCGCCGCTACGCTCGTAGGTTGCATGGCGATGGCAAATGTGTGCGGGTGCAGTTTTGAAATGAGAGAAACGAAGAAGTTGTAGTCTCATAGTTTTCTAGTGTTTTGAAAAAGTTCTTGTATGCTCATTTGTTCGAAGAAGGGCGAGCGAAGACAGACAGACAACAGACGCACAATGCATAAATTTGAAGTTTGCGACGGGGCCGGAGGACAGAGAGTAAAAGTGAGTGAAAACAACACCGCCGCACAAAAAAAAACGAAACACCTACAAAAATATTGTCTATGTCCCAACACTTCATGCGCTTCTAACATCTATTTACCGGGAAAACAAAATATATGCGGCAGTCTACTCCACCCACCCACGGATGGATATCGAACGATGAGGCTGAAAAGCTACAGCCACGTGGTGCAGTGTGTGTGTATCTTTATTATTAGCATCAACCGCACTAACTGGCTGACTGACCAATGAAAAGAGGTCAGTCTTAGTGCGGTTAAAAACACAAGACACTTCTATCTGCCATGAACTGGGACCCCGTGAGGGGGCAGCATGGGGGGCGTACTCTTATGTTTTGCATGCCTTAGCGGTTAGATCATTGACCACGCGTCCTCGAGAGGACGGAGCATTATTCCCACAGGACCGATCACCGATGGCCAATTGTTTCTTTATACTATGCCAAAGGTGGCTCAAAAATGTCTTCCCTAGTCTGTCTATCCTAACGATATCCCTTCCCGCCTTTTCGACCCACCTCCTATGCCCCAGTACAACTACCGTCCTTTCCTCTCTATTCCATGCCTCAAACATCTCCCTGTACGTCCCATCTATTTTTCCCAGCTCAGTCACGTGCACTTCCCTCTCCCTCTTGTACAACGGGCATTCCGCGACTACATGAACACGGTCTTCGCATTCGAAGCCGCTATCACATTTGAACTCGTCGTCTTCCTCGTCTACCGTCCTATGTCTTCGACGTTCTAGAAGGCCTATGTCCCCGGTCCAGAATTTGACCTTAAGCTTCGTTCCTGCATCCATTGGTTCATGCAGGTAATCCTTGAACCCTATTCCTTCCTTCAACATTCCGTGCACTTCTAGACCCTCCTTATGCTTGGATTCCTTCCATAGATTCTATTCTTCTCTCTCGGCACAAGCAACAGAAATCTTTTCCTTGAACCCCTGTAGACCCTCCGTTTCCAGCGTTTCATCTTCGTCAATGTCGAGCCCCTTCCATACGTCCTCTACAACCTTGACCCATTCCGTGGGTTGTCTACCCCTCTTTTTGTTTGCCCACTTCGCCTCCCATACAATTCTCGGCAACCTCTCCTCTCCCATCCCGCACATGCGATACTGCCAGGTCAGCTTCCTCGCGTCTCTTCCCGACCGTAGGGATTGGATCCCCAATTCTGCCCTCACGGCTGCATTACTTGTGCGCCTGGAGCATCCTAGGATGATTTTCGCTGCTTTCATCTGCGCCGCCTCGAGTTCTTTCACTACCTTCTTATTTCCTTCCCATACTTCTCCGGCGTACTCTAGCGGCGGTACGATTACGCTCTTCAAAACCGTCAATTTGATGCGTGTATCGAGGTGCCGGTTTGCGAGTATTGGGTGCAGCTTCCCTGCTCGTGCTTTGCCCTTTTCCGCTACCTTGGACATGTGTGCATTCCACGAGCGTTTTTTTGCGATCTCTACTCCGAGGTATGTGTACTGGTCTACTACTGCAATCNCGTTCATCTGCGCCGCCTGTAGTACTTTCACTACCTTCTTGTTTCCTTCCCATGCTTCTCCGGTGTACTCTAGCGGCGGTACGATTACGCTCTTCAAAACCGTCAATTTGATGCGTGTATTGAGTTGCCGGTGTGCGAGTATTGGGTGCAGCTTCCCTGCTCGTGCTTTGCCCCTTTCCGCTACCTTGGACATGTGTGCATTCCACGAGCAGTCTTTTGCGATCTCTACTCCGAGGTATGTGTACTGGTCCACTACTGCAATCTCCTCGATCCCCCACTTCCATCTATGTTCTACTGGTTCCTCCTTGTTCTCGTTGCATACCATGACGGCACTCTTCTGAACGTTGGCAGATAACCTCCACTTATCAGTAAACTTCTTCGCGGTGTCAATTTGCAGTTGCAGTTCCTCAGGGGTATCCGACATACCGACAAAATCATCCGCAAACAGCATTCCTGAAACCGACGTTTCCGTGTCCCCTACTTTTACTCCCTTCCGGACTGCCTCTACGACTTCCAACAGATCGTTGATGAACACCTGGAACAATGTTGGGGACAGCGTGCAACCTTGTGGGACCCCCTGCTCAATGTCGAAGAATTTTGACAGTTCTCCGTCTAGCATGACCGCGCTTTTCGTGCACTCTGTCATCTTCTTCAGCACTCTCCACATTTTCCCCTTGATCCCGTATTTGGACAGTTGTTTCCACAACCCATTTCTCCATACGGTGTCGTATGCCTTTTTCACGTCCAGGAAGAAGCAGTACGTCGGCTTTCCCGCCCTCTTTCTACCTTGGATGATTCTCCCTACCGTGAACACGTGGTCTACGCACCCCCTCTTCTTGCGGAAACCTGCCTGGCCCTCACTAATGCTATGTTCCTTCTCCAATACTCCCACTATCCTATCGTTCAGCAGCTTACAGAACACTTTTCCTACTGTGTTCAACAGTGTGATCCCCCTGTAGTTTCCTGGGTCAGTCTTGTCTCCTTTCTTGAACAAGTTCACAACCACTCCTTCCCTCCATCTACTTGGCGTATACTCGTTTTTCCACACCCAATTGTACAGCAGTACCATCAGCTGGATCATCCCCTTCCCCCCAAACTTCATGAACTCGTTGACTATCCCATCCGCTCCTGCTGCTTTGTGGCACTTCAGCTTGTTCACACACGCCTCAACCTCGTCCTCAGTGAACTCCTTTTCTAGTTCTACGTTCCCAACGTCTGCCTTCGATGTCTCTTCTTCTTTTTGGGCCCATGCGTCCACCTCCTTCTTAAACACTTGGTCAAAAGCTTCATTCTCCGAGGGCACTCCAAGTCTCTTGTAGTGTCCTGCTAGAACTTCCCCTTTTCCCTTTCCACTGCTGACTAATCGACCGTTCACACCTCGCAAAGTCGCTACCCCTGTATCCCCCCCTTGCGCGGTCTTTTTTACCATTCCACTAATCCCTTCCCACATCTGCTTGNTAATGTCGGAGAATTGAGACAGTTCTCCGTCTAGCATGACCGCGCTTTTCGTACACTCTGTCATCTTCTTCAGCACTCTCCACATTTTCCCCTTGATCCCGTATTTGGACAGTTGTTTCCACAACCCATTTCTCCATACGGTGTCGTATGCCTTTTTCACGTCCAGGAAGAAGCAGTACGTCGGCTTTCCCGCCCTCTTTCTACCTTGGATGATTCTCCCTACCGTGAACACGTGGTCTACGCACCCCCTCTTCTTGCGGAAACCTGCCTGGCCCTCACTAATGCTATGTTCCTTCTCCAATACTCCCACTATCCTATCGTTCAGCAGCTTACCGAACACTTTTCCTACTGTGGTCAACAGTGTGATTCCCCTGTAGTTTCCTGGGTCAGTCTTGTCTCCTTTC